AAACTTTGTAATAAAAAAATAAATTAAAAAAATCAAAAAAAAATCTTTAGAAAAAGAAAAAAAAAAAGGTCTCTAGCCTATAACTTACCTTGACTACATTTTTAAATCTCATATTCTAAGTTCTCTTTTAATCAATAGCAACTACTGCACCATCTTCAAAGTATTTTAAGCATCATTCACTGAATACAATCTGTCTTTCTTCCAGAATATTTTACTGTGCCAACTGTAATATGCCTTTAATTCAACAGGACTGCCAATTGATTGATCATATAAAGTGTTTGCTTTTCATCATTCCATCATTTGTCACTTTTCTTAGAATCAAAAAAATTTTTCCAGAAACTGCTTAGTAAGACTGCTACTGGAATTTTGGAGATTAAAATATGGGCATCATGTTCTTTAAAGCCAAATCTGGTTAAAAAAAAAAAAAAAGGTTACTAGGTTACCAGGATTTTTTGCTTAAGTTAAAGATAGAGTCAGAAAAGTGACAATATATACACATTGATTCCAAGTGGAAAGACAGAATAAATGTTGAGTGGCTAACCAATAAGAACTACTATAATGTATAAACGTATTCTTTTAGTCCCAGGTGCAAATGACACTGTTTGAAGTTACCGGTCTGCATTAGGAGGAGAAACACAAAGAGAGCTCTGTTTCCACTGATTGCATTCTAGAACTGGTTCTGCTGCATATTTGTTGGATGATTGTAGATAAGGTATTAACCCTCTCTTTATCTTGATGTCCACATCCACAGCATGATATAATTATTGCTCCTTATATGTCATGCGATTGCTGGGAAGATAAAATAATTACTATGAATACAAGGAAATACCATTTTCACATTTAAGCTTCTCACAGTGCCTGTTCTATTTCATTTATCCACTGCAAAAAGATGCTGACAGTATTTAATGTAAGATATAAGATGAATATTTGGGAATCAAAAGTTTTCATCATGGCCCTTTTAGTTAAGGTATTAACCAATAAATGATTTAGCAGGAACTACTATCTCCTAGACTACAGAATCAGAAAAGCCAGTAGAAGACACAGGACAAGAAAGATATGGTAGGGAAACTAGGGGTGCTGTCTGTGCAACTTAATGGTTGCTTCAACTGCAAAATGAACTGTCCTATTTACTAGCTGGGTACAACTAACTGTGTGACTCCATAGATGCTGATATTGCTTTTCTTGCTTAGGTATTCTTGTGTTTTAATATTTACTGATGTATAATATTGGCAAAGCGACCCAACCCCCAAAAGATGGGTTAGTGGTACAACAAATCAGTAAAAAACATAACTGGAAGAACAGTTCATGCACAATACTCACCAGACAACATGAAACTGATATTAATGGACTAAGTAAAGAACTGTCTTCTTGATGAAAAGCTAAGAGAATTTTTGTTCTGAAGTGTTCATTCTCTGAAATGGTAAGAAAAATGGTAAGGAATATGGATGACTTTAATATCAGCTAACAATCTGTCTTAAAGATCCAGTAGCTAAAAAAGATTTTTATAAATTTCAGAAAACATTGAAACACAACAACTGTTGTCTATATGTGTTTTTGTTTTAAAAGATTTATTTATTCATTCATACAGAACTAGGGTACAGGGAAGAGGTGCGGGGGGGTGAGAGGATTCACCAGAGACAGAGTGGGGAGCAGAGAAGGCAGATTGAGGAAATACACTGCCGAGGGGAGCAGCGGGTGGGTCAGGAGAGGTCTGCTGTACCATGTAGATCACCTCTGGGGCTGGGGATGTAACTCAGTACTGTGCTTTAACCAGCTGCACCACCAGGGAGGGCCTATATTTGTTTTTAAAAAATACAGAAGAGATATTTTCATCTGAATTTGTAATCTATTATTTATCTTTGTATTGGGATAATAATATATTTAGAATGAGGGGACTTCTGTAAAAAATTGTTTTTCAGCAACAGTGTTGGTCTGTGCAGGAATATCATAATAGGACAGGGCATGACTATAAGGTGAATAGCTACAATTTCCCTCATTTCCATTATAATCCCCTAAATAGGTGTAACAAGGCACAAAAACAATAATAATTTAAATTTACCATAGTTCTTGCATCTGGTTTCTCAAATAGTTCTGTGGATTTAGAACTAGTATTTGATAGGAAGGAAAAATTCCCAACATCAACATCCTAGGAGGTGTCAGGATACTGAAAAATAGGGCACATTAGAGGATGTAAAGCAGCAAGTGACTTTCATTGTGTGCGTTTCAGTGAAGTTCCACTTACCAATTACAACATGTCTTTCAACAATTTAGCTAGCTTTGATACACCTGGAACAATGGAGTATTAGTAATTAGCAATGATGTGGGTGTAGTAAGCCAGAGGAGCTTGTGATCTATGCAACATCAATATTCAAATGAGGTTAGAAGAACTGCTGTTGAAGCCTGGATGGCTCCAGCCTGATCTATAAACATAGATCCCTTTGTCTTTTAACTTATTCTAATGCAACAACCACAACTGAAACACTAAACAAATAACTGGCAAAGGAAAGATGAAACAGCAGGGCAGTAAGATACTAAAGTTAAAACTTTCTTGGCAAGAGCCACAAGTTAGTTAACTTCATGCAGGCATGAGATAATAGATATCTATGAAAAACTAACCATTTGTCAGTTTGCTTGATTAAATGAGAATAGAAGAAACATTTTAATTCTCCTTAATAAAAGTGACTGCTATTTATTTGATACCAGGGACTATTATAGGTCTTCATATAAAAATTCTCATTTAATCCTCTCAATAATTTCATCATAGGTACTATCCCACTTTACAAAATAAAACCAATTAAAGAAAGAGTTTAACCTCCTCAAGAACTGAAAGAGAATAAGTGATGAAGTTAGAGTCTGAAAACTAGAAAGTCTCATCAGAAGTCATATTCTTAATGTTTTCTATTTTTACAAGGAAAGCCTACCTTTTTCCCAAACAAATTTAGTCTTTATCATTCCTCCATCAGAAGCCATTTCTTTTAAAACCTTTTAAAAAGCATTGTTGATTGTAACTTTAAAACTATACATGACACCATGTGATCTTAAGCATGAAATGATTATTTCAGAATTCCTATGAATTATCTAGCAAAAATAATCTACCCTATTCTTTAATGTAGTGAATTGATTAGGGGAAGGGGTGTACTTATGACAAATTTGTATAGTGCAGAATAGAGTTTAAACTTTAAATTGTCATACTGAAAATACATGCAAACTCCTATGTACTACCTGACTGGAGAGGTGGGCACCTACCTCAAAAAGCAGTCAATTTACAGACTGTTCACAGAATTAAAACATAGCCTGGCATGGAAAGATGAACAGAAAGTATCACCTTCTTAAAATTTTTCAATGTCTCACTGTTTTGTAAAAATGAGAAATCCATTTTAAATGAGATGAGTGGATTTTTATTATTAGAAAAGTTATGAAATGATTCTTGATGCCTATCTTGCCTGTGGAATTCATTCATTTTAATGTTCAGTGGAAACATGTTTATATAGCAATCACTGGAGATCTAAATATCTAGCACAGACATAATTATATTAAACATTATTAATAATAAGGTTGCCATTCTAATAGCCTATTAGATGAACTTTAAAAATATCATCTGTCATTTGCACAACAACCTTACAATATAGTTTCTAATATCCCTAATTTTCAGATGAGAAAGCTAAAGCACAGAGACCTTGGGTAACTTTCCAAGATCACTCAGCTAGTAGTGACTAAGCTTGGAGTCTGGATCCAAAGTGTATACACCCTTTATACAATTACTAGCTTTTTTTCTAGCCCAAAACATGAAGTATTGTTTATCAATTGTCTCTTAGCTTGACATCAGAGTAGAGTTGGTTTACAGATGTATGACAACATAAAATTAACAGATGAGTATTTAGAAGGAAAATACAATCAAGCAAAAGGCAAATTTCGTGCATAAAAACGTGTGCCGTAGGTACTGTAGGGTGTTAGACAGGGTTTGAAAAGATCGCCATATGAGGAAGAAAGATGCCTTTGGAAAAAGTTAGTAGCTCCCGAGGACTCAAAGACCGGGCATAAGAGGTGTTATTAGGCACAGATATGAGGCAAAATGTAGTGAGATGCACCTGGCACAAATGTGTGCTAAAAGAACTTAGAAATATCAGGTGCTTTAGTCTATAAAATGTAAGGATTAGGAAGTCCATAAAAAAAGGATGGATCTTCACTGAATATTAATTTGAGCAGTTATTTAGAAATAGCACTATGAATATTCAGGTATTGATAATTCTAAAAAAAAGGCCTATCAAAAAAAAAAAAAAAAAAGGCATGGATCACCCTAAAGTTGGCTTACTATCAAAGAAAGTCAAATTCTGCAGCATTCAAGATGGCATCTATTCTTGGTTTCGAAACATTTTCTTCATTAACACTTAGAGGTACTCTTCTCTTGAAAAGAGAGATACGGCCCCAAAGAAAAACAGGAATAATGATGTAGATGAGGTTACCAAGAGCAATAGTGTCTTCGAAGAAAAATGCAGACCGACACTGACAAACACGGTCCAAACTCTCTTGAACTTGGATGGCAATGTGACTTTTTTAACTTTTAATTTTTCTCAACGAGTTATGAAAAGTATAGTTCAGATTAAACCAGGAGGGTGAGGCTGGTGGGGAAAGGGAAGTTCAGGCAAAATTCGAAGCAAGACCCTACATAAAAAACCTACCTGCTAACTTGAGCACGTAAATTACAGGGGAGAGTTTGGACGTGGGAGGTGCTATAAATAGATCAGCGTTGTTTATGTTTCATACAGCAGATTAGTCCATACATAATAATGGCGTAAACCTGTTGGGCCATGATTCAATATCCCCCCACTCACACCCCCCAAGTAGTCAGGATTGGTGTCTCTATCCTTTAAGTCTGAGACTTCAAGTACAGTATTTCTGAGGTGCACTCTTGCTGATACAGCTATGCTAGTCCAGGTCAAGATACTACCAAATGTTCAAGAAACTTTTTTTTTTTTTAAAGTAGTTGTTTCCCAGGTTCTTCTCAGCTTGTTGTACACTACTATGGGCAAACTCGAACGGGCAAAAATCCGTGGGTTTTTTAGGGGACAAATTGGAGCACGACCCGCCGATCTGCACTTTAAACCGCGCCAGGTCTATTTAACACTGAGTTTAGAGACTACCTCTGGGAAGACACAGCAGAGGAAGGGGACTGTGCTCCGAGCGTCAGCTGTTAAAAAGTGCTCTCTTTTCGCCGCCTCGGAGGCTAAGGCTACGTCTGGGCTGACTCACGCCCCAGAATATTTTAAAAGCGAGGGAGTAGCTGAGTCAGTGCCCCAGGCTCTGACTAACGAGGAAACTCGCCTACGCTGACGGCGAGTCGACGCCGGCTGTCGCACGTTTCCTGCACACTTCACCCGAGTCATAGGTTTCCCCAGCAGAGCCGCGCACACCTGCACACAGACTCCCCACAGCAGACTCGCCCGCGACGCGCCGCGACTAGCGGGGGCACAGGCCGGAAGCGCCCTCCAGGCCCGCCCCCTTTCCGCCGGAGCCGGAAGTTGCAGACCCCAGCGGCTACTTCGCCCTCCGCGCGCCGCTCCCCAACATGCTTCGCGCTCCCACTCGCCTCCACCGCGGCCCCAGTCGCCTCTTCGGCCCCCACGTAATACCCGCCGCGGCCCTGGCTGTGGCGCTGCTCTCGTCGCTCTCGGGCTGCTCCCTCCTGGAGCGGGAGGATTCGGTGGTCTCGGCGCTAAGCTCCTACTTCGGCACCAAGACTCGCTACGAGGATGCCAACCCCGGGCTGCTGCCGGACCCCGAGGCGCCGCGGCGGGATCCGGAGCTGCTGGAGGACACCTGCACCCCCGTGCAGCTGGTGGCCCTCATCCGCCACGGCACCCGCTACCCCACGGCCAAGCAGATCCGCAAGCTGCGCCAGCTGCACGACCTGCTGCAGACCCGTAGGCCCGGGGAGCACAGGCCTGCCGCTGCGGACGGCCGCAACCTGGGCGCCGCGCTGGCCGACTGGCCGCTCTGGTACGCGGACTGGATGGACGGGCAGCTGGTGGAGAAGGGACGGCAGGACATGAGACAGCTGGCGCTTCGCCTGGCCTCACTCTTCCCGGCCCTCTTCAGCCGCGAGAACTACGGCCGCCTGCGGCTTATCACCAGCTCCAAGCACCGCTGTGTGGACAGCGGCGCCGCCTTCCTTCAGGGGCTGTGGCAGCACTACCACCCTGGGTTGCCGCCGCCGGACGTCGCAGGTGATTGCCCAGGCGTAGGGGCCACTGTCCCTCGGTACTCCCTGACACTTCCCCCCACCCCCCGCCCAAGTCATCCCCTAATCCCGGATGTCCCCGATTCCAGCCTTTCCTCGCTCCCCTCTGCACACAGGCTCTCCCTGACTTTGGATGCTCAGGACTTAACTGTGCGCCTTCTCCTTCGTGAGTTCGTTATTCATTCACCAGGTTTGATTAGCACCTTCTACGTGCAGGACCCTGTAGTAGACGGTGGCGGATCCAGGGGCAAAGGAGGAAGACAAGGGCAGTTTGTAATCTATTGTCAAATTGAACTGGCACTCTGAGCGCCTCCCCCCCACCCCCAATCTCTTTCCCTGGCAAGCTAGTTATATAGTTGGGCGCACTTTAAAAAGGTAATCTAGAACTTTCTTCCTTAGACTTTGTTTCTGATACTATTTGACTTTTTATTTTTTAACTTACCAGCTTTTACCAGGGCTGGTTCTAGACCTACATCCTGTTTTAGGGAGCTACTTTCTTGTTTTGCGTTTTTCTGCTTTGTTTATGTGACTTCTGTAGAGTTGAGTTACCTTCAGTTGTTAAGTGTGATCTGTGGTCTCATGCAGTACTGTACAGCTTATTCCATTATGTAAAATTTGAGAAATACGCTAGTTGGGCCCCTTTTATTTCACAGATGAAGAATTTGAGCCTAAGAATACACCTTTCTCATTGTCCTTAGTTTGAAGAGTAGAGCTGGGCCCAGAATCCAGGTCTTCTGTTTTTCCCCCAATTGGTGCTTTTTTCCCCTAGAAAATGCTTTAAAAGCAACAACTAAATCGAAAGAACAGGGATAGAGGTGGAAGGGATTATGCTGAGTAAAATAAGTCAGAAAGAAAAGGAAAGCATTGGATGGTCTCACTTAATAGGATGGGAAATCAAATAAGGGATTAGGAAAAGAAAATTATAATAAATTAAAAAACAAAGTTAACAGGCAACTATAAATCAGACATTCTGCAGAAAGAGGGGCAGTAGAAGGATTAAAACAGGAAAGGGGAGAGCAACAAAGGAACTGGTGATGGTGAACAGGTGAATTGGTTATGGGAATTCTCTGCAGACTACATCAGAGAGGAGAACCAATGCATTGTACAAAAAGGAAGGATGATGTAAACTTTACAAATACAACAACAACAAACAGCTAAGGGATCCCAGGTGGCAGGGCTTGTTGAAGCACAGCATAGGGAGCTAGCTGCCTCAGCACTAGTTCAATCCCCCCCCCCCACCACCACCACCAGTTGACCCACCTGGTGCAGCAGGCCTCTCCTGTCTCCTACTCCCCTCAGCAGTGTACTTCTGCCATCCACCTGTTCTGTCCCCCACTCTGTCTCTGGTGAATCCTCTCACCACCCCTGCACCTCTGGCCTGTACCCCAGTTTTATATGCATAAATAAATCAGTCTTTAAAAAACAATTATAATTCAGTTGGCAAAGTGGGTAGAGCTGTTCAGGTCTCACATATATACATACGTATTTTCTCACAGACATCCAAAGCAAGAGTATAATGATTTTTGACTTTTTCATTTTATGTATAGAAATATTACTCTTGGTGTTCTTTTCATGTTGGAGAAATGTCTGGAATCTGTGTTTTGAGCACAACTCTGGAAAAAGTTTCATAATAGTTAAAAAGCATGATTATGAATGTTTTTCCAGTGTATATTTGTTGCAAAATTGAAGAAAAATGTAATTTGTTATGTTCTAAATTGAAAGTTATCTGGGAGCGTCAGTTAGAAAATAAACTATATTAGAAGCACCTAGCACAATAAAATACAGAAGACTTAAAACATGAATGTATTCTGTGCTCTTGTTAGTAGTTTTTACTCAAAGCAGAGTGACAGTTGGGGAAGTTAATTTAGAAAATAAGATACCTGCTAGATTTCAGCTTAAAGTAGAAAAGTAGATTTGACCTGTGGAGTTATCACTCACCCTATAATTAGGAATGTAAAGTTCATTTTCCCTAGTTTCCTCTGCCTGATAGAAACAGTACTTATATATGAAATTTTATGACTGTGTCTATTTTTATTTTCTTTAAGATATCATTTTCATTACCTTTATTTCATTGTGCAGTATTGTGTTAACACATTTCGTTTTAATTTTCGTTTGTTTATTCTTTCTAGCATGTACTGTCATGAATTACTGTCATTATAAAAATTACCATCATTACAAATTGGCATTGCTTTGCCTTGTGTTTTGATCATTATTCTTATTTCAGACACATAGATGAATGTTTTTGGTGTGCCATTTCACAAACAAAAGAAAATATCCAGTAATGAGAGCTGCCATTTATGTTGATAATTTATATATGTGTATAATTTTTCTCCCTTTTTAGATATGGAGTGTGGACCTCCAAGAATTAATGATAAACTAATGAGGTTCTTTGATCATTGTGAGAAATTTTTAACTGAAGTGGAAAAGAATGCTACAGCTCTTTATCATGTTGAAGCCTTTAAAACTGGACCAGAAATGCAGAAAATTTTAAATAAAGTTGCAGCTACTTTGCAAGTACCTGTCAACAATTTAAATGCAGGTAATATGCCTATTTTTCATTTGAATTATGAAATAGCTTATGTCTTTTTGTTGTGGGAGGAAAATCAAGGTGAGGCTGCAGGTGTTGGGGGTGAAAAAATTCACCGGAAACAGAGTGGAGAATAGAAAAGTCAGATTTATTAAAATACACTGCTAGGAGAAGCAGCGGGCAAAACGCAGGAGGTTAACTGCACCTAAATAGGATTTGGGGTTCTCTTTATACCCTATTTTTGTGGGCTTTCCTGGCTTGGGTAGTTGGTGCTTGTTAATTGTTATCCATTGGAAGGAACATCAGGTTTCAGTCAGCTTTCCCTTTTGGTGATATGTTGTTTGCCCTGTTTCCACGTTCTCTAGAATTCTGATAACCACAGGTCATATAGACCTGCGGTCTAGCTCCTAAGGTAATTTTATTGGATTCCCTTTCTTATTTACTTTATGTCTCCCAGCAGTGTGCTGCTGAACAGAATGCAGAGACTAGATTTTAACTTTATAAAATGTACCCTGACATTTTGGAGTTCTGAAAATGAAGAAATAAAAAGTTACTCCTTTTAGACATCTGTAATTGAATTTAAATTCTGAACATGGTATGTTCTCAATAAAAGAATTATGTACTTCATGTTTACTATTATTACATAGGCTGGATTTTTTTCTTAAGGGAAGCCCTATATAAACCTTCAATTAAGCATTATTTATGAGACAAAATAATCTTTTTGGGGGGGGTAATATCGAAATTTATGCAAATATAAAATTATAAAAACTTCATAAAAGTTAGATTTTTTCTATTTCCCCAAACTAATAGATCTTCAAAACTTACTTATTGGAAAATAATTTAGGCATGTTGATAGTAATTAAGGTTAATAAATGAAGTGGCAAACTCACAGCTCATTTTTTAAATTGGTTTTTAATATTATGCTTGAATTAGTTGCTTTAAATAGAGGTATTTTGGTCCTTCTCGATCTCATTCCTGTCCTTTTCTCCATAGAAGGATCTATCAATTGAGCATATAATTACCCCAAGCCAATTTTTATGTTTCTATACATGAATGGGCTATTTTTTTTACAGATTTAAAAACTAAGACTAATATAATCATGTATAATATTGTTTGAAATTTGATTTTTACTCAACTGCTTTTTCACTTTAATGTGTTTAATTCTAGTCTTACACTTTAAACTTATGTACAAAATTCTATTGTATAAGTTCACCAGTATCGAACCATTATTCTGGTAATGGCCATTTCCATCATTGAAGATATTTTTAAAAATTACTTTTAGCCTCTAAATGGACAAGATTATTTGTATTTTTCAGCAGCAATAGAAGCATGTTGGTTAATTAAAATCATGTTTTTCAGCCTTGGCTCTGTTGTATTTTCGAATAACTGTGATCATTGCCAAGTTCTTTGCTATCTCTATATCTTTGTAAAATATCCTATATCTATAGGTATAGGAATTGTCATGGGATTATTACAAGGATATTATGAAATTAATTCATAGAAAGCACTAGTACAGTGCCCTGTATACTAAAGATATTTTAGTTTCTTAAATACTTTCTTTAGTAGAAAGGTGAATATGTATTTTCTGTAACTTATTTTTACTTACATGTCTTATATAATTTATTTTTTTCTTTTAAATGCTATTATTTCAGAGTATTTATGAGTCAGTTTTTAGGTTAATGCTGTTAAAATTTATTTAGCCTTTCCAGTTACACTGGTGGGATGGGCTGATATGGAGCTAATATATGAAACAGTCCAAATTGTTTTTATAGAAAATCATTTTTCTGTCAAGGTTTTCTTAGTTTCTAACTCTTTCAAATGATATTACTGTAAACATTTTTATAGTCAAGTTTTTGGATTTATCTGTAAGATAGATAACTACAGGTTATTTGAGAGATGTTCAGTTGAGAAGCATGAATATTTTACATCTTGACACATACTCCTAACTTGTTCTCTGAATGTACAAAAAAACTTACATGCTAAGAGTGTGCTCATTTCCCTCATCTCATCCAAGAGTGAATATTATTTATTTTTGTTTTTGCCAATATGATTAATGAAAAATGGTATCTAGTTTCAGTTTGCATTTTTTGGGTTATTTATTTTGTGAAGGTAAACTTATTGTCATGTGTTTATTAGCTATTTGCATTCCTTCTGTGAATGAATTGCCTCTTAATGAGTTTGTCCATTTTCTTTTGTTTTTGTTTTCCTTATTGATCACAAGTCTCCTTATGTGTTAGGGATATCTTAATTATATATCCTTTAATTGCCTGACAAAGAATAAATGTTTTACCTTTTGTACGTTGCAAGCATTTTCTATTTGTTGTTTATTTATTTTTAAGTCTATGCTGCCTTTTTCACATAAGTTTATATCCTTAATAAGACATACCTGTCTTTTCATTATGGTTTCTGAGTGTTCTAAGGATTCTGCCTAGGAACTCTTTTTTTATCTATAACTCTATTATTTTTGTATGTCTTCCTTCATATTGTATTTTGTTTTTCAAATTATTTATATATTTTTAAAGATTTTTATTTATATGCATACAGAAATGGGGTACAGGCCAGAAGTGCAGGGGCAGCAAGAAGATTTACCAGAAACAGAGTGGGGAGCAAAACAAGCAGTTCAACAAAGGACACTGCTGAGGGGAGCAGCGGGTGAGACTGGAAAGGTCTGTACCAGGAAGGGCCTTTCAAATTTTTAAATTTCTTAATTCATCTAATATATTTTTGAGATTCTAAAAGATAGATCAAGTCTGAAGGTCATAATATATGGATCAGAGCCTTAGCTCTTAACTCTTCATTAAAAAAAGTCTAATCTCTCTATTTTGCTGGTGGAAAAATTGAGATGCAGGGAGCCTAAAATGACTTGCTCGATATATTTAGTGGCAGAGTCAGGCTTCATAGCTTCAGTTATCATCTTAGGCATTTGCTCCCTATATTGGCACTTCAGTGATAGTGAATTTTGGAGTGATTTCCCCCCCCCAAATCAGCTTTCTTCCAGTTAAAAAATAGACTATTTGGACTGACCTTTTTTTTTTAATTCATAGTTTCAAAACTGTGACTTATGAGTATTCCCAGTTAAATTTTTCTTTGAACTCCATTCAGCCTTGGGAATTTTTTTTTTTAAGATTTATTTATTTATGCATATAGAACTGGGGTACAGGCCAGAGTGCGGGGCAGTGAGAGGATTCACCAGAGACAGAGTGGGGAGCAGACAGGTAGACTGACTGATGAGTACACTGGTGAGGGACACAGCGAGCAGGTCAGGAGAGGTCTGCCTCACCATGTGGGTCACCTCCGGGGCGGGGATCCAACTCATGCTGAAGTGGCTTTAGCTTCTTAGTGCTGTGCTTTAACCCACAGCACCACCGGGGAGGGCCCTGGAAATTCTTTTAACATAATACTAGTGTAACATGTAAAATCCATATTCTTTGGTCCCATTTTTCTTGGGAAAGAGGTGAAGTAGAATTAAAATTTTATAAAATCAAAGCAGTGGCAGCAACCCCTAAAATTGACTGACCTCTATCTGTAATAATTTTTATTTTAATTTTTAAAATTTATTTATATATATTTTACATCATTGTTTATTTTTGCACAATGTTTGCTTTCTCCTTTCAGGTTACAGGTAGCAGTTTGTTTAATGGGTTCTGATGAATACCACTTTTTATAATCCCAATACACATGTACCCTTATAACTTCACTTCAAAACACATAAATGTCTATAAGTAATATAGTCAGTAATTAATAACTTATTCTGAAATCCACTGCTGGCTGCACAGCAAACGTTGGAAAATTAATGCTGTATCGCCCTGCCCTCCCTGTGCCTCTTTAGAGTGTGATTTTTCCTTTTTTTGTGTCTCTCCCTGCCTTTTTGTTTCACCATCTTCCTGATCCTTTATTTCCTCTGCCTTTTTTTTTCATCTTTTCTGATTCTTTGTTGCCTTTTAATGTCCTTTCTCTCTATACTTACTTCCAATTAACAATTATAATGTGAATTGTGTAATAAAAAGAATGGTACAATAAATGTATTTTGTTATTCCTAATTTTCAAGTTAGGGACTGTCCCTAGTAAATAAAAATGCCCCAACAAATAAAAATGAGCAAAGTTCTTATGCTTTATGTGGTAAATCCTTGGGTAAAGCTTTTTTGAGGTAACATTGGTTTGTAACATTTTTTTAGTTTCAGGCATACAGCATTATGATTCCACAACTGTATATACTACATCATGATCATCAGCAAAAATCTTCTATCCATTACCTTATCACTGACACCCTTTACCTGTTTTACCATGACAATGTATTACTTTTTTTTTTTTTTTAATATTTATTTGTTCATACAGAACTGGGGTACAGGCTAGTGGCTCAGGGGCGGCGAGAGGCTTCACCAGAGACAAGAGAGGGGAGCAGAACAGGCAGATCGATGAAGTACACTGATGAGGGGAGCGGCGGAGAATCAGGAGAGGTCTGCCACGCCATGTGGTCACTTCCGGGGCAGGCGGGAATCGAACTCATGCGGAAGTGACTTTAACTTCTCAGTGCTGTGCTTTAACCCGCTGCGCCACCAGGGAGGGCCGACAATGTATTACTTTTAACAGCAGGAAAAATGTTACTGTTTTGCAGAAATTTTTTTTCTTTGAGCTGAAATTTATACCTTTTTATAGTTTCTTCCTGATACTTCTAGTTTCTCTGTTTGAATTGAATAGAATTAGCCTTAATTCTTTAATAGCCAGAAGAAGCTGAATAGTGTCTTCTCTAAATGGAGTATATACAGTTCTTTCAACTGTGCTAACATGTTATTTATTCCGTAGTTATTTCATCTTTGGAAAATTGTAGAAATTAGTAACCCATACATTTTATCTTTTTTTTTTTTTCCAGATTTAATTCAAGTAGCTTTCTTCACCTGTTCATTTGATCTGGCAATTAAAGGTATTAAATCTCCTTGGTGTGATGTTTTTGACATAGATGATGCAAAGGTAAGTGTTACTTTTCCCATTTCTTTGCTTTTTATTTTGCATGATTTTTTTTTGTTGCTGTTACTCCAAGCAGCTTTTCAAAAAATAAGCAGATAGGGGATTTTAACTGTCTTTGACTAACTTGTAATTTTTCCTAAATCAAAAGAGGTTAATGATTCAGATAGTGACACTACTAAAGATATTTTGGGTTTATAAAACTCTAACATTCTTCCATGATAATTTGATTTCTAAGCCCATGCAATTTAAAACCTATTTACCCACCATCAAATTTTACTCTAGAAGGGATTGTAGAGCTAATCTAATACAAATTCTCCTTTTTATAGGAAGCCGAAGTTCAGAGAGAATGGTTTTCAACTGCCTACTTCTTTTTTTTATCATATTGCATTATCTCTTTATTACTGTTTTTTAATTTATAAGTTTATTTTTACATCATTTTGTACATTTTTTTTTCCATCTCAATTGTAATCCCCGTGGATTTCCCATTACCAAGTCACCCGTGTGCCATCACCATAAACCCGTGCACTTCCCACCCCCTCATTTTTGATCCTATTCCCCACTCCACCCCCACAAAATGTCTCTGGTATATGGGTGTTCATTATTCTTGTTATTTTCTCGCCTGGTCCATTACACTCCTGCTATGAGTGAAACCATCCAGTATTTTTCTTTCTCTTTCTGGCTTATCTCACTCAGCATGATCTTTTCCAGCTC